AACCCAGTCCAAACCAGTCCAAACCAGTCCAAACCAGTCCAACCCAGTCCAACCCAGTCCAAACCAGTCCAACCCAGTCCAACCCATTCCAACCCAGTCCAACCCAGTCCAAACCAGTTTAACCCAGTCCAAACCAGTCCAAACCAGTCCAAACCAGTCCAAACCAGTCCAACCCAGTCCTAACCAGTCCTAACCAGTCCAAACCAGTCCAAACCAGTATAACCCAGTCCAACCCAGTCCAATCCAGTCCAAACCAGTCCAACCCAGTCCAACCCAGTCCAAACCAATCCAAAACAGTATAACCAGTCCAACCCAGTCCAAACCAGTCCAACCCAGTCCAAACCAGTCCAAACCAGTCCAAACCAGTCCAAACCAGTATAGCCCAGTTCCCTCCCAGTCCAAACCAGTAACCCCAACTCCCCATTCCCCCCATCTTTAACCCTTTCTCCTCCCATTTTTAACCCCTTATTCCCCATTTTTACCCCTTTCTTCCCCATTTCCCCCCATTTTCCCACAATTTCTCCCCCCTTTCCCCCTCCCAGTACAAACCAGTATAACCCAGTATGAAACCAGTACAAACCAGTATAACCCAGTAACCCCAACTCCCCATTCCCCCCATTTTTAACCCTTTCACCTCCCATTTTTAACCCCTTATTCCCCCTTTTTACCCCTTTCTTCCCCATATTTCCGCCATATTTCCCCCCATTTCCCCCCTCCCAGTCCAAACCAGTCCAAACCAGTATAGCCCAGTAAGCCCAGTATGCCCAGTACCACACGGAGTCGGTGTTGAGGCGCTCCAGGGGCCGCATGGCCTCGTCCAGGTAGATGTCGGTGGTCAGCGACGTGTCGGTGTCGTGCGCCGAGTTGTAGTTGGTGACCGTGCGGGTGGGCAGGCCCAGGCAGCGCAGCACTGACCAGTACAGACCAGTATAAACCAGTACGGACCAGTACGGACCAGTATGGACCAGTACGGACCAGTACGGACCAGTATGGACCAGTACGGACCAGTACGGACCAGTATGGACCAGTACGGACCAGTACGGACCAGTATGGACCAGTACGGACCAGTACGGACCAGTATGGACCAGTACGGACCAGTACGGACCAGTATGGACCAGTACGGACCAGTACGGACCAGTATGGACCAGTACGGACCAGTACGGACCAGTATGGACCAGTACGGACCAGTACGGACCAGTATGGACCAGTACGGACCAGTACGGACCAGTATGGACCAGTACGGACCAGTACGGACCAGTATGGACCAGTACGGACCAGTACGGACCAGTATGGACCAGTACGGACCAGTACGGACCAGTATGGACCAGTACGGACCAGTACGGACCAGTATGGACCAGTACGGACCAGTACGGACCAGTATGGACCAGTACGGACCAGTACGGACCAGTATGGACCAGTACGGACCAGTAAGGACCAGTATGGACCAGTATAATCCAGTATGGACCAGTACAAACCAGTACAGACCAGTCCAAACCAGTCACCCCAACCCCAAATTTAACCCTTTCTCCCCCATTTTTAACCCTTTCTTCCCCACATCCCCCCATTTTTCAGTTTTTTCCCCTTCCTCCCCTCCCAGTCCCTCCCAGTTCCCTCCCAGTCCCTCCCAGTCCCTCCCAGCACCCACCGGTGGTGACGACGCCGGCGAACACCCAGCACTGGCCGTAGCGCACGGGCGCGCCGGAGCCGTGGAAGCTGCGCAGGATCGCCACGGAGCCGGCCCAGGCCGAGGGGTTCGTGCCCTGCGAGTAATCCCCGGTCCAGTTCCCCACCAGCACCCCGCTGTCGTCCAGAGAGTTCACCTGGGAGCCCAAAAAATCCGGGGTTCTGGGCGTTTTCCCCAAAAAATTTGGGGTTTTTGGGAAAAAATCCCAAAATTTTAGTCAAAAACGCAAAAATTCTGGCGCGAAACGACGAAAATTCCCATCAAGGCTCTGCCCTAAGCTGGCAAAATCATTCCTGGGAAAAGGTCAAAGTCATAAAAATCCCAAAATTCCCTCCCAGTCCAAACCAGTAACCCCAAACCCCCATCTCCCCCATTTTTAACCCTTTCTCCTCCATTTTTAACCCTTTCTCCCCATTTTTAACCCTTTCTTTCCCATATCTCCCCCATTTTTTGCCGTTTTTTCGCCGTTTTTCTGCCTTTTCCCCCCGTTTTTTCCCCTTCCTCCCCTCCCAGTCCCTCCCAGTTCCCTCCCAGTCCCTCCCAGTCCCTCCCAGCACCCACCGGTGGTGACGACGCCGGCGAACACCCAGCACTGGCCGTAGCGCACGGGCGCGCCGGAGCCGTGGAAGCTGCGCAGGATCGCCACGGAGCCGGCCCAGGCCGAGGGGTTCGTGCCCTGCGAGTAATCCCCGGTCCAGTTCCCCACCAGCACCCCGCTGTCGTCCAGAGAGTTCACCTGGGAGCCCAAAAAATCCGGGGTTTCGGGCGTTTGCCCCAAAAAAAATTTGGGGTTTTTGGGAAAAAATCCCAAAATTTTAGTCAAAAACGCAAAAATTCTGGCGCGAAACGACGAAAATTCCCATCAAGGCTCTGCCCTAAGCTGGCAAAATCATTCCTGGGAAAAGGTCAAAGTCATAAAAATCCCAAAATTCCCCAAAATTTCCCGAAAAAATTTGCCCAAAAATCCCGAATTTTCCGCCCAAAATGGTGAAAATTTCGACCCAAAGTGACGCAAGTTTCATCTCAAAATTCCCAGCGAAACTCGGCTCTGGATTCCAACCTAAAGAGGCCAAAATTCCTGGAAATATTCCTGGGAAATGTCAAAATTCCCAAAAAATCCCAAAATTCCCCCAAAATCCCGAAATTCCTGAAAAAATTTGAGTCAAAATTCCAAAATTTCTGCCCGAAATTGGGAAAATTCCAGCCCAAAATGCTGAAAATTCCCAGCAAAATTCTGCTCTGAATTCCAACCTAAAGAGGCCAAAACTCCTGGAAATATTCCTGGGAAATGTCAAAATTCCCAAAAATCTCAAAATCCCCAAAAAATCCCAAAATTCCTGAAAAAAATTGTGTCAAATTTCCAAAATTTCTGCCCGAAAATCGGGAAAATTCCAGCCCAAAATGATGAAAATTCCCAGCAAAATTCTGCTCTGAATTCCAACCTAAAGAGGCCAAAATTCCTGGAAATATTCCTGGGAAATGTTAAAATTCCCCAAAACTCCAAAATTCCCAAAAAATCCCAAAATTCCCTGAAAAATTCTGTCCAAAAATCCTGAAATTTCTCCTCAAAAATCCCGAAATTTCACGGGCGCGCCGGAGCCGTGGAAGCTGCGCAGGATCGCCACGGAGCCGGCCCAGGCCGAGGGGTTCGTGCCCTGCGAGTAATCCCCGGTCCAGTTCCCCACCAGCACCCCGCTGTCGTCCAGAGAGTTCACCTGGGAGCCCAAAAAATCCGGGGTTTCGGGCGTTTGCCCCAAAAAAAATTTGGGGTTTTTGGGAAAAAATCCCAAAATTTTAGTCAAAAACGCAAAAATTCTGGCGCGAAACGACGAAAATTCCCATCAAGGCTCTGCCCTAAGTTGGCAAAATCATTCCTGGGAAAAGGTCAAAGTCATAAAAATCCCAAAATTCCCCAAAATTTCCCGAAAAAATTTGCCCAAAAATCCCGAATTTTCCGCCCAAAATGGTGAAAATTTCGACCCAAAGTGACGCAAGTTTCATCTCAAAATTCCCAGCGAAACTCGGCTCTGGATTCCAACCTAAAGAGGCCAAAATTCCTGGAAATATTCCTGGGAAATGTCAAAATTCCCAAAAAATCCCAAAATTCCCCCAAAATCCCGAAATTCCTGAAAAAATTTGAGTCAAAATTCCAAAATTTCTGCCCGAAATTGGGAAAATTCCAGCCCAAAATGCTGAAAATTCCCAGCAAAATTCTGCTCTGAATTCCAACCTAAAGAGGCCAAAATTCCTGGAAATATTCCTGGGAAATGTTAAAATTCCCCAAAACTCCAAAATTCCCAAAAAATCCCAAAATTCCCTGAAAAATTCTGTCCAAAAATCCTAAAATTTCTCCTCAAAAATCCCGAAATTTCTAGCCCAAAGCAATGAAAATTCCCAGCAAAACTCCACCCTAAAGAGGCCAAAATTCCTGAAAATATTCCTGGGAAAACGTCAGAATCCAAAAAATCCCAAAATTCCCCAAAAATCCTGAAATTCCTGAAAAAATTTGAGTCAAAATTCCAAAATTTCTGCCCGAAAATCGGGAAAATTCCAGCCCAAAATGTTGGAAATTTAAAATTCCCCAAAACTCCAAAATTCCCAAAAAATCCCAAAATTCCCTGAAAAATTCTGTCCAAAAATCCTGAAATTTCTCCTCAAAAATCCCGAAATTTCCAGCCCTAAGCAATGAAAATTCCCAGCAAAACTCCACCTTAAAAAGGCCAAAATTCCTGAAAATATTCCCGGGAAAACGTCAGAATCCAAAAAAACTCAAAATTCCCAAAAAATCCCAAAATTCCTGAAAAAATTTGAGTCAAAATTCCAAACTTTCTGCCCGAAAATCGGGAAAATTCCGGCCCAAAATGTTGGAAATTCCCAGCAAAATTCTGCTTTGAATTCCAACCTAAAGATGCCAAAATTCCTAAAAAATATTCCTGGGAAATCCTGAAATCCCAAAATTCTGAAATTCCCAAAAATTTCCCGAAATCCTCCCAAAATTTGGGATGAAAAATCCCAAAATTTTTGCTCAAAATTGTGAAAATTCCGGTGTAAAACGTTGCAAATTCTCACAAAACTTCACCTTAAAAATCCCAAAATTGACAAAAATTTTCTTGGGAAAGATGAAAATCCCAAAAAATCCCCAAAAATTCCCAAAATTCCTGCCCAAAATTGGGAAAATTGCAGCCAAAAATGACAAAGTTTCACCCCAAAATTCCAAGAATTTGCTGAAAATCCTCAGAATTCCCCCAAAAATCTCTCAAATTTTACCCCAAATTTTCCCAAATTCCCCCAAAATTTTGGGATTTAACCCCAAACCTCCCCAAAAAACCTCCCAAAATCACTGAAATCCCCCCCGAAAAATCCCAAAATTTCCAAAAAATCCCAGGAATTTCCCCCAAAATTCCACCCCAAATCCCAACCTCCAAATTTTCCCAAAAATCTGCCCCAAAATCTCAGGATTTTACCCCAAAATTCCCCCAAATTCCTGTTTTTCCCAAAATCCCAAGAATTCCCTCCAAATCTCACCAAAATTTCCCCCAAAATTCCAGAAATTCCTCCCAAATTTTCCCAAAATCCCAAAAAATTTCCCCCAAAATCCCTAAAATCCCCAAAATTCTCTCCAAAAATCCCAGAAATTTCCCCCAAATCCCCAAAATTTCCCCAAATCCCCAAAATTCACCAAAAAATCCCCCCAAAATCCTCTGAATTCCACAAATTTTCCCCAAAAATCCCCGGAATTCTCTCCTAAACCAATCAAATTTTCCCCCCAAAAATCCCAAAATCTCCCCCAAAATTCCCCCCAAATTCCCCCCCAAAATCTCCAAAATTCTCCCCAAAAATTCCTCAAAATTCTTCCCAAAATCCCTCCAAACTCGCTGGAATTTCCCCCCAAAAATTCCCCCTAAAATTTTCTCCCAAAATCCGCAAAAAATCCCCAAAATTTCCCCCAAATTTCCCCAAAATCTTGGGACTTTTCCCCCCAAATTCCCTCAAAACTCCTCCCAAAATCCCCAACATTTGCCCCAAAAATTCCTAAAAATTCCCCAAACTTCCTCAAATTTCCCCCCAAACCCCAAATTCTCCCTAAAAAATCCCAAAACCCCAAAAAAACCCCAAATTTCCCCCAAAATCCCCAAATTTCCAGGAATTTCTCCCTTAAAATTCCCCCAAATTCCCCCAAAACTCCTCCTTAAATCCCCCAAATTCCCCCCAAAAATCCCCCTAAAAAAATCCCAAACCCCCCCAAAATCCCCGAATTTTCCCCAAAAATCCCCAAATTTTCACAAAATCCCAAAAACTTTCCCCCAAAATCCCCAAATTTCCAGGAATCCCCCCAAAATTTCCCCCTAAAATCCCTGCAAACCCATCAAAACTCCTCCTTAAATCTCCCAAAATCCCAGGAATTCCCCCCAAAAATGCTCCCAAAATTTTGCCTAAAAAATCCTAAAACCCCCCAAAAATCCCGAATTTCCCCAAAATCCCC